GTAAGGGAGGCTCTGGCATAGGGAGCACATGGCTACTCCCTGAGTAGACCATTCATTACTGCAGGATCTGGCAGACGAAGTGGAGGAAGACAGGTTTAAAGGGGTATTGGAGAGAGCAGATGAGTGCCAGGCTTTGGGGAAAAGAGCTCTGGGATAGGCTCGAGAACTGCCAGGATAGCTTTGCTACCTCTGGGCGGGTGACTCAAGTTAGTCCTCAGTTTCTTCTTCTAAAACCAGGATAATCAGAGCTCCCGTCCAGAGTCATTAGAACATGTGAGAAAGTGCTCTCTGCGCCGTTATCTACGAATTAGCCACAGTTTCTTTTGGGTTCGACATAGCCATAGGAAACACAATCTATTTCTTTCTTTTTTTTTTTTTCAATTAAGGTGTCATTGATATACAATCTTATGAAGGTTTCACATGAGCAACACTGTGGTTACTACAGTCACCCATATTATCAAGTCCCCCCACACACATCCCATTGCAGTCACTGTCTATCAGCCTAGTAAGAAGCCACAGAGTCACTGCTTGTCTTCTCTGTGCTGTACTGCCTTCCCCCTGCTCCCCACCCCATATTATGTGGAGGCACAATCTATTTCTACCTTCAGGATCCTGCTGTAAATCCAAGATGCAGATTCCATCTCATACTTCCCCAAAGTGCCCACACTGGTCTGGGACCACACAATGTCGGGAACAAGGACATAGTCTTCAAGTGTCTTGTTTTTCTCGACAGACAATTCATGTCAAGTTTGCATTCTGCTGTGTACTATCCATGGGCTTCTCTTCAGATAAAAACAATCATATTCTTTCTTTCCTGAGGCTCCTACCAAAATGGGAGCTCCAGGAAGCTGCCCAGGGTTTATTTATCACTTCTTCAGGCCCAGGGCACACATGTCCATGGGATGACCTCAGAGCTGGGGTCTAAGATCCTGCAGCTCTCAAGTGTGAGGAAGGCTCATCATACAGGCTCCCTGGCAGGAGGCTCCCAGTAGTCCTAGTCTCTGTGGCTCTGATGAGCGCCCAATAGACCCCAGCAGTGAGTCCAGCCTGGCCTGCACCCTGGCCATGCACCCTTGCCCATCCCCAGCCCCCAGCCAATAAATCATCCTGAATTAATCAAAGCTCTTGCACGGGTCCGAACCCACCAGGGGCCTCCTCCAGCGGCCACTTTGTGTTCTGTAGATTAATTGCAGCTGGGGGAGAGGAGGGAATCCATTTTTAGAAAATCATTACTTTTAGAAAGAGGGGGGCGCTCTGGTTGGGGAAAACTGCTGAGCTGGCAACTCAGGCCTGCTGCTCAAGCACCAGGAAACCCGGGGCTGTGCAGGCTGCTCGAGGCTCAGCGGGCACTGCCCTGGGGGCCTGTGCCCCCTCCTCCTGAGGCCAGGGCACCCCAGGCCTCTTGCCCTGACTCCTGCCAGCCTTCCCTTCCTGCTCTGACCAGGGCTCAGCAATCTGCTGGCATTCTGAGCAGGAAGGGGTCACCCTAATATCAACCAACCCCCACTGTCACTTAGCTGACTGTCTTCTCTCAGCCCGCTTGCTGTACAGCACATGAAGGCCACTGTCGGCTCCTGCCTGCGGTTCCAGGGGAGAAGGTAGGTTGGGGACCCCTAATTGCCACTGCCTTGAATACAGCATCTAGTAGACTAAACGGAATGAAATTGCCATCTTTGTAGGTCAAAATGGTCAGATATTAGCAGTCCCACGTGGCTCGACCTAATTATCATGTGGCCAGCTCTTCAGATGTATTTTCTCTCTAATCCCCCTTTGGCTCCATGAGGCAGGTATAATGCCCATTTTAGATTTCAGAACTTGAGGTTCAGAGAGGTTCAGCGACTTGCCAGAGTGAGTACTCCAACCCTGGCCCATCTGACTTCGAAACCAGGACCACGAGTCACACCCTGTTTTCTGTCTGGCCCCCATGCCACCAGCCCCAACACTGCTGTGGTCACAGGCACGCTTTAGCACTGATGCAGTGACAACACTTCAAGGAAAAGCTCCTCTCCAGGCTGGGTGTGGGAGCTTAACTGACCCAGCAGGAAGTCTGTACTTGCTGCAGACTTGGGTGCAGTTCCAGCCTCCCTCATGTGCATGACTTGTGTCAGGTACGACCTGCCTGCATCGCTCTGTGGCTTAGGGAAGGTCCTTAGTGCACACAGATGTGTACAAACATCTGGTGTTGTCTGGAAGTCACATTGGCTTGGTCCTTTCAAACCAGAGAACTTGTTTTAGGAAATAGATGCCCTGAGATTAGATAGCACAGAGATTAGATCACATGGAGGTGATGAAACCTGACACTACCACTTGCCAGCTGGGGGAATTTGGGTGACAATGTTGAACCTCAGTTTCTTCATCTGTGGAATGGGGCTAAAAATGGTAGCTGCCTTTACAGTAAGGATTATGTGGTTCAATCCCAAGGTAAAGTGCTTGAAACACCACCTCATACAGTAAGAACATAGCTGCCGCTGCTGCTTATCATCATCAGCCAAGCTAAGCCCACGATTCGCTCTCTCTCCCTAGTTCATGGGACAAGCTCTGTCTGAGTGCTGTGTCAGGAAATGTTTGGGCAATTCTAAGTGGGGCTTAAGTGCATCCCAAATGGGCCCCCACTGAGATGTCAGAGAGCCAAGAGTTTACAGTTCAGTTGGGGGAAAAGGGCAGAAGTTTTTAGAAGCTGGGAGGCTTCCTGGAGGAGGTGTGGCCTGAGTTACATCCTGAAGGATCAGGAAGAGAGAGAGAATTGAAGGAGCTGGAGAGCACTTGCTTGGAAGCACATCAACAGGCCTGTTTGAGGAACTACAAATTGCCTGCATGCCTGGGCCCAAGGACCTGGGGAGGGGTTAAAACGTGAGGTTGGCAGAGGCAGATGCTCAAAGGCCACTTGGACTAGAGGAAGGCAGGCCTTGAACTAAATCAGACTCGAGGGGATAGAGAAAAGGAACATATGTGAGAGTGATTTACATTTTGTAATTATGGATTAAATGAGGCAGCAAGGACAGGATTTGGTTTTTTATTTAAGGATGGCAGATGGGGCAAGGGACGTGGGAGAATCCAGGTTTCCAGTTGGGGCTGAAGTATCCACAGGCAGAGAATGAAGCCATCAAAATGCTGTTGCTGCCCAGGACAGGCAGGGTGAGGGGCATCAGCTGCCAACCAGCACCTGGCTTCCCCTGAACATTCCTCTCTCCCTTCCCACTCAGTCAGCCACCCCATCAGGATCTACACACCCTCACCACAGTTCCAACCTCCTGGGGCTGAAAGTCAAGCCCAGCTAATGGGGGAAGGCATGAAGTTGCTGCCACAGCTCTGCCTGCTGAAGCCAGAGGCCCTCTCCAAACAGTGGGGCCAGGGGGCCACGTGCTGCCCCATTTTCTCAAGATTTTGAGTTGTGGGACTGGCATCACACAGGATTCTATCAAATAAACATCTCTGCAGTGCACGGACCGAGGAGTAAAACCCCTCAGCAGAAGCCAGACCCTGATCTCGCTAGTCACTCCCTCGCTGAGTCACCTTGGGCAAGCCCTTTAACCTCTCAAAGCCTCCATTTTTGCAGAGGGTCCTAATGAGAACTAAATAATTTCCTAAACACTTAGCATCATGCCTGGCACCTAGTTAAGCATTCAATACATGGTAGCTGTTATTATTATTAAAGAACTTCCTGGCATGCCGATGCAATTTAGAGCAAACTAGGATGGCTTTGACAGCTCCCTCATGTAGCACCCTCCACCCCACCCCTCACCCACCACTGCCACTCTGGAGTTGACTAGAATGCTCCTTGGGTGTTTTCCAGAGATGGAATTCTACACTTACTCTTGATTGCAGAACTAAATAAATGGAGGCAGGTTTCAGTTTAACTGATAAAAAGCAAAAAGGTGCTTCAAGAGGTAGTGAGCTCCCCATAGCCTCATGTAAACAAGCTGGCCCAGAGGACCATTTGGCACTAATGCTCTGGAGCAGAAACGAGCATGTATTAACCTTTCTCACCACATGCTGTAGCATTCCCCAGAATGCAATGGTGGTGCCAGAAGGCCATAGTGCTTTGTGTCACTATTTGGCAAGATAGATTATTGGCGATTTTACTTTGGCCCTCCAGAATGGGTTTTAGAAATTGTCAGTTTATGATATCCAAAATCTTAACCCCCACTTCAGAGACCCCCTTCCTGTAAGGTTCAAGACCCCCCAAAACAAACACCCGCACAACCTGTTTGGTGCCTAGTTTGGACCCATGTCTCGTGCAAGAAGCCTTCAACCTTAAACATGAATCAGATGAAACAGCTGAAATCCAGGGGCAGGACTGAAAAGGCACTTTACCAGAGGTGCCATTGGGGCTGGACAGGACCTGGGCACTAGAGAACTTCCAAAGAAGAGCTCAAGTGGCCAGGGCAGGACCTGGACTCAGTGTACTCCGTCTCCTGGAATGTGGCCTGATCCCTCTGCCCATCACCAGCACTCAACTTCTGCCTTGTCTCCCCTGAGGTCCTCAGCCCTCGGGAACCTGTCCTGCAATCCAGTGTGGCAGTGACCTACCTTTTGGAAAGGTGCAGTGGGCTCTGGATTTAATGTTAAATGAGGAATTAGTAAGCAAGATCCGGATGGACCCAAGTTCTTGCCATCACACCTCCCCATCCTGGGTCCCAATGCTACCTACCTCCTTCCCAGTCACTTGAAATTCCCTTTTCTCACCAATAAGCTTTGAAAAATCATCCACCTTTGTAACTCAGGGCTCCCTGAGGTTGATAAATAAAGGACAGCCAGCTAGCTACACCCCAGGGTCACTGTCCAAGAGGACTATCTGTGTAGCTTCAGGATTTCTAGGCACATGGGCAATGGATACTGTTCTGGACATCTGCTTGCGGAAGGGCAGGCTGTTCTGGACATCCCTCTGTGACCTCCCCAACCAACCCTGGGCCAGGACACCCAGAACTGCCCTGTCTGTCCCTTTTCCCTCCCCTCCCACCAGAAGAGAAAAGAGTTGGAGGACAACACAGAATCAAGTATACATTTTAAAAATTGTTTAATGGAACATAAACTCCTTTAGAAAAACATTCAGCCAGGTGATAACACCCATAGAAAAAAACACGAATCTTGTGTTTATCTTTTTTTAATTTGGCATTTGTTATTTGCATTTATATTAAAGCAAAGTGCATCTTTTCTTTATTTTTCTTGTTTATACACATTGCACAATACATAAATAATGATGCTTATAAAACGTCTTTATATTTACAAGTAATAATATATTTATATATAACATAAAATACATTTTTTTCTTTAATAAATCTGTTGTGTTTTTTTTTCTGGAGTCCTTTCTCTCTCAAAGCACTACAATGCTAAATTTCCAATGAGAATGCTTCTCTTGTTCATTTAAACCTTTGTAGTTAGAAAAATAGCTTATGTTAAAGTCTAAACATGCTCATTGAGCTAAGAGCAGTGTCAACATATCATACGAGTGTATGAGTTGTAGAAGAAATGAAAGAGTTAGGTGTCAGCCCAGGATGGTACCGTGGGTCATGATGGACCGAATCCTTCTCGGTGGGAAGGGGGTGCTGCTGAGAAGTCTCCCTCCCAGGGCTGCTCCCCTCGCTGGTCTAACAGCAGAGCTCAACACACAGGCTGCGGAGGGGAGGAAAGTGCTGAGCTGGTTTTCTGAGTCCGGGAAAAAACCTGATGTAACCAGGGCAGGGGAGAGGCTGAGGGGCCTGAGAGGGCACGGGGTGAGCAATACTGTGACGGGGCTGCCCATCTCAGAGAGATCCAGGAGCAGATGGCCATTAAGGGAAGACACGACAATGGCAGCAGGGTGGCCGGAGGCGGGAGGAAGACAAGCATGAAAACGACTGGTTCTGGTTCAGCCTCTTGCAGGCTTGCTTCTAAGAAGCCTGTGGACAGGCCTGTGTCCTGGAAGGGGAGAGGCAGAGCCTCGCTTCTGGTAGCTGCCGGGATTCCCACCACCAGTTTGCTCAGGTGCTGCCTCTGCCCCACAGAGTGTGTCCAGAGGGCAGGAGAGACCCTGCAAACCTCTCAGCTGGAGATGGCCACAGAAACACACAGCAAGCCATTCCCCGTCCCTGCACACTCACACACACTCGCTCACACACACGCCCTGACAAGGGGATGACCCCAAAGTTAGGGCCTGCTCCCCATTCATACTGTGTTTGGTGCTACTATGACTTTTGCTTCCCCTTTTCATATTGGGGTGTTCTGCCAACCCCACCCCACCCCCACAAAACCCCAGTAATTCTTTCCATAAGCTATTTCTCAACAGAATAGAACATTAACATGAATGACAAGCATGTGTGTGCACACACACATGCGTGCATTCACACACACGCACACGCACGCACATACACGATGACCAGTTTGCATGAAAAGCAAGCACTCAGGAGGAAAATATTAGCAGCAAAGTAGTCTGGACTGGGCCCGCTCGGCTCACGCTCCGTCCTCTCCCCACGCGGCTACCGGCTATTGAAGATGACCTCCAGCCAGCACGGGCAGCTGCTGATGAACTGGCGGGTATAGCACTGGCCCCAGCCCTTCACGAAGCTAATCTGCACAGTGAAGCCAGTCCACGGCTGCTGCATGAACTCATGGTCGTTGGGCCGCTGCAGGCTGTATGCTTTCTCATAGTCAAAAGCCTTGATGGAGAAACCGGGGAACACTTTGTGTACCAACAGCGTCCTGGAGTCCGGGTTGTCCAGTGTGGCTGACTTGATGAAGATGGGGTAGCTGCTGCGGTTGTACACCCACACGCCATCCACTTCCCTTGTCAGCTGGATGCCACAGCCGATCTTGCTCCGCACTTTCTGCACCAGCTGACTCTTGTTATCCGAATTGAGCTGTCCGAGGCAAAAGCCATTCCCCTGAGGTAGATCATAGAAGATGTCCAGAGAGGGCTCCTGGACACAGTAGAGCCTCCCCACTCTTGTCTTCTCCTCCCAGTATGCCACCACGCACCAGTGTGACCGATCCCCAGGCTCCAGAAGAAGTTGGGAATCTGAAAAAGAAAATGTCAGACACGGTTGGTGGTGACGGAGACTGCCCCTGCCATCAAGACACAGAACCCCTGTAACTGGCTCATCTCTCAGGACGTGACAGGAGGTGGCCACGGTGGTGCCGGAGGCTCAAGAGGTCCTGCAGTCCTCCTCCGGGGCCTAGAAATCTTGACCCAGTGATAGAAGACCGAACCTGCCTTTGAACATGGGGCTTGCTGGGGTGCCTCTTCTCTCCACTGGGTCATCCTGCCAGGGATCAGGACGGCAGTGCATGTGCCCACCTGGCCAAAAGTGGCCCTATCCCTGCAGAGCTCAGAAGCCAGGGGACCCTTAGCAGCCTGTCTGGTCCTTGTTTTGGGGCCAGAAAAGGTCTTATACAAAGTCTACAATTAGTTCTTTAAACTGGATGGACCCTTGAAGGCTGGCTGCTCCAAGCCCTGGTCATCCTCATGAGAAAACTTGGCTGCTCTGGTCCTGGGTCGTAAGGGAGTGCTATCTGGTTAAAAGTTAAAATGAAGGTGATTTGGGGCAAAAATATCTATTTCCCTAAAAAAAAAAAAAAGCCACTCTGTCTGTGCACAAAGGGTAGATTCATGTCAAAATGCCAAATCACAACCTGCACACTGGTGCAAACCCAGGCTACCTTATCGAAGCCCCCTCCAGCTGAGACTGATTATCTGTGTAAAATGGGGATGACCTTCCTTGAAGTGCCCCTTCCCTGCCTGCACCACCTCCCAGAAGCCTCTCGGTGCCCTGCCCCCCTCCTCTGGAGACCCCACCCCAGCCTTCCTACAAGAGGCCCTTCCTCCAGCAGCCTGGGAGACTGATTCTGGTAAGGTGATCTTCCTAACCAGGCACTCAGGGGTCTTTAAAGGGGGGTCATATGGAGGGAAAGGGAGCCCCAGTGGCTGGCATTCTGACTCAAGCTGGAGCCGGTGGGGCAGGCCTCTGGCCGGGAACCATAAATCTCCCACCGGCCGGGCTGCAGGAACGCTGCGGTTTGCGGTGGCAGGGTGGAGACCGGAAGTCTTGTATTTGTTAACAAAAATGGGGAAAGGCAGGGGGGAAAGCCTGAGGCAGAGGCCTCCTGTCCTTCCCCTGCAGCCCTGCTTCTCAGCTGTGGGGGGAGAGGGTTTGGGCATGAAGGTGGGATTGGCTGTGAGATGTTTTCCGGTTTGGCCTTTTTCATTTTGGAACAACTGAGGGTCACAGATGATGGGTTGTACAGCTCAGCTGGAGGTGCAGGAAGGCTGTGTGACCCGGTACAGCTCAGTACACTAACTTATTCCGACACTTACAGGCATGTTAGGACCTGGGAACCAGGCAGTCCCATTAACTTTTTTTTTTTTTAACTCAGCAGCTAGTCTTGCATAGAGGTGTCCCATGAATAAGTCTGTACAAATGTGCACTGTGACCCACTGAGGCAGCCACACACACCAGAGCAGCCGTCTCCTACAGTCTCCTCAACTGACCTTCTCAAATGTCTGCCCAGACAGCTACACAAAATGGGGACACAAAAGGCTCATTCCTCTCCCTCAATCCCCACCCCAGAGGACTGGCCTGCCACCCCCAACACATGCACCCATAAACTATAGGTGTGAGAGAGACTGTGTGTCCATGAGTGTAAGCACACATATGTGTGTTAGTGTGCATACAAACTGGAACATATGGAAAAACGAGAGGGACAAGGGCTCCAAGCAGAAGGTGACTCATCAGGCATTAACTTGTTTCTGCAAAGTATCCATCAACTGCTAATAAACTCGTGAGCACTGGCAATCTTTGAACTTTCTTGCTGAGGGAGTTCAGCTCTGAAGACTACACTAAAGACCCATAACCTCCAGGTAAGTGAGAATACTCTGGCAAGTTTACTGGAAAGGAGAAAGCCCTCTTCTGGAAGGCACAGGGCGTCTGCCCGTCTGTTTCAGGGAGGAGAGTGTTTTGAAATTTAAGAAGCTCTCCTTTATCCCAACCCAGGACAAACCGGGCCTGGAAAGGAAGGCCGGACGGTGGCTGGGAGGGAGTGCCGGAGACCCTCAGCAAAGCCTTACAATAGTGCGTTTCATGGAGCCCAGCCCCCCTGAAACCTGGCACCCGCTAGTAGGAGAGAGGTGGGAGAAGAGGTGTGGGGAGGGTGGTGTGGGCTCTAGTGCCCCTGTGCCAAGACCACTGGCATGGGGTGGGGGCCTTGTCTGCCCAGTGGGCCTCGTGGGGCAGAGGAAGCTGGCAGGGCCCAAGTCGGCTGAGCTTGGCCCAGCGCCACGGGGTGGGGGTTGGGGTGGGGAAGCATTCTGGGGTGTTTCTCATCTGTGCCGCCTGCCCGTCCACCCAGCAATTTGCTGCCAGACATCTCCTGGAAAAAGCCTTTTTCTGTTAAGGTTAATTAATGTCCCAGTCCAGATAAACGGCAGCGTATGGGTGTCCCTGTGTGTGAACAAGGCCACTGAAGGCTCACTAGGGGCCCTACTCTGCCACAGAAGGACCCTTGCTGGCCTCTCTCCTCCACTGACCCTGCCCCCCGCCAACCCCGCCACAGCCTCCCAGTGCCCTGGTGGCCCTTTGCTCTGCACTGCTCCTGCACAATCTGTCTGAGCACAAACCCCACTCTACAGCCACACCATCCCAACAGAGAAGGCCTCTTTAACACATCACACTTCTGGGGGCCTTGTACATCCCACACTGACAAGTCAGAGATCTACCCCAAATTCCCCACCATTTGGGCTCATTTCTAGGAAACACTCAGCATCACTTTCAGAGAAACACAGTTCCATGAACTGAGCCCACAGCCCACAAGCGTCTCCCCACAAGATGTGTGGAGACGCTTAGCTCTTGGGGGCTTCCCAGGCCTCGTGGCAGGAGGCAGGGAGGATTCACACAGGGAAGTCTCCCTCGTTACGAGGATGAAGAGCCTCAGGAACCCAACTCTGGCTTCTTATCATGGTTGCTGACACTTCACCTCCAAAGGCAAGGCTCGCTGTCCCCCATGAACGTCCCCCAGCTTTACAACCTTTTCCAGTATTTCAGCAACAACTCTCCCTCCTCAGAAAAGTGTTATGTGCAGGGGCTTCATTTAACACTGTATTTGTGCATTTAAAAGCATCTAAAAGAAAAGCTGTGCTGTAGAAAGCTAACTAATCAGATGCCTGCTCACAATTTTTTCTTTTTATTACAGTTGAGGGAATTTTTGGAGCAACCCCAGCAAAAAGCTGAATTGGCCTAAAATTCCTTTAAGGTCGTTTGTCCTCCTCCCTTTCCCGTTTCCCTTAAAGCATAAAATACACCCTTTAAAAGGAAGGGGGTTTGTGGGTGTTGAGAAGGGGAAGGATTTCGCTTGTGTTTGCACTTGCATTAGGGAAGACCACGTAACAAGGAGCTCCCTGCCTCTTACGAAGAGTTACGTGAAGGACCCTCAGCTCAGGGTCTCAATGGCATTAAGTGACCAGACCTCAAGGCCCCATTTTAGGTGAGGAATTTCCCCCCTTTTTAAATTTTTTATTTGAAGGTGTGAGGGGTGGAAGGAAAATGGAGGGAGGGAAGCAAGATCCAGTTCAGGGCTTCGGGGGCACCATTTCTGGCCTCTTGCTCATGAAGTCGACTGTGAGGCTGGAGAGGCAGAACTCTTCCCAAGACACCCAGTGGGATTCTGTGAGGCCAGTGGGGATGCCTGAGAGTGGGGCCACATGAGCCCAGCGGTGCCCTCACACAGAGGCGGTGCTGTGGGGGGGCGGGGGTGCCCAGAGGTTCTGGCCCTTCAGGACAGAGGCGAGTTGGGAAACGAAGGCAGCATATATAGAACCACAGCAGCTGGCCCTGCCTTGGACGTGAACTGCCAGGGCACAAGGGAGCTGGAGTAAACAGTGAGCAATGCGGGGTCTCAACTCTCCTGTCTCTGCCAGGCACTTGGATTATAAAGGGGTATCTCTTTGCCAAAACCCAACAGTGGGACAGGCCTGAGTCCTGTCCTGTCCCGCCCTGCTGTCAGGGGGTCCAGCAGAGCACAAGGCTGGGGATGGAGAAGGCAGGGAGATGGCAGACTGGGCAAAATGGCTGCCTTACCACAGGCTGACGGGGGCAAGCAAAGGGCACCAACGGAGAGACTCAGCAGTTAAAACCTGGCAAGCCGGGAATGCAAACACCACCACGCCCCGCCGGCCGCAGGTCCAGGGTCCTCCCCTTCCTCGGGACTCAGGCCACCAAGGGCTGCCTCATCCTGTCCTCCCCTACCTCAAAGGTCAGCAGCCCCAGCCAGCCCTGCTCCCCACCCTGGTCAGGACACAGGCTGTTCTGAGAACAAGCAGCCCACTTCAGGGATAAGGACTGAGATGGATGGGCCAGTCAATCTATCCAATCTATTATCATCCCAGATACTTGCAAGTAATGAGGACCCTTGCTGGTCTCTTGATTTTAAGAAAGAAAAAATGACCAAGAACTAAGGCAAACACGTGCAAACACATGAAGTTTCTGGACGCAATGTGGGTTCTGGAGTCAGCTCTGATCGGCCAGGTTCACCTCACTTGGAACATGAGGGGATTACACCAGGCCTCCCACAGACGCCTTAAGGCAGCACAGACAACACCTGGGATACCCGTGGGGGTTGAAAGAAACTCTAACAGTTCAGGTTAACTCTCAGTTACCCAGAAAACACTCAGACCTACCCCATCATCCCTACCCCAAGCTGGATTGGAGAATGTCATCTGGCTGGTAGAAGGCAGCACTGAAAAGGTTGGATTTCTTCTGGAGCTTTTCAACAAGGTTTTTCCACTGAGGTCGCTGGACCTGGGAACAGGCAGGGGGTGCCAGAGGGTCTCCTTCCAAGGCTCGGGTGCTTCCTCAGGTCCCTGGGCCCAACCAGCTGAACTCCCCAAATCCCACCCTTAGGGAGTTCCAGCTGTAGTATGTCACCCCTACCTCATGAGAGGTGACCAGATATGGAGTCAGACATCCCATTCAGATCTACTTTGGCACCTTGGCAATGACAGACATATCCCTAAGACAGAGCTGCTCA